GGGAGCGCCGCTGCGCTTCCCAAGCGGCGCACTTATCCAGTGCGCCACCGGGCTGGCCCTATAATGTGTTGTTTTGATACATGTATACATTGTGTAATGATCAAATCAGGGTAATTTGAAAATCCATCACCTTGAACATTTATCATTTCTTTGTGGTGAGAACATTCAAAATCCTCTTTTTTAGCTATTTTGAGATATGCAATACACTATTGTTAACCATAGTCACCCTGTTGTGCAATAAAACACCAGAACTTATTCCTCCTATGTGTGATCATTCTTCACTTTAAATATGTTGGCAGTGGACTTAATGGATTTGGAGATACTGGGCTGTTGTGACAAAGGCAAAGTCATAACAATCAATTTGCTGAATCAGGACGGAATTTGACAGAAGGAGTAGGTGGGGTAGAGGAGCCATTACTATCTCTCATTCTCAACATTGACTGTATATTGTAATCACATGGAGAGCTTTGAAAAACAGCGATATTTTTCTGGGCCCACTCCTAGAGATCTTAACTTAGCTGGTCCTGGGATGGATCCAACATTTGTATCTACATACAGCTCCATCAAGTCCACATTCATACTCAGGAGGTTAGCTGCTGAAGGGACAGAAGCTGCTCTATATCTAACATGATTTTTCCCTTCTCTCTGTTCTGTTGTAGCACAGTAAAAACATAATAGTCTCTTTCCCTTAAGGCTATTACACAAGAATCATGTGGTAAGAATCAGTTCAAGCCAAAGTGGCTGTTTGACTTATCATTGACATGATTGTGAATATGACTGCTCATGACTAACTGTGTCATAAAAATGATTAACATCAGTAGAAAATGACACATGAAGAACTGATGTATAATACAGATATCCTGGATGAGGTACAATCACTGCCTTGCATTGTTTATTGTCAAGCTGGAGAGTTGGAAACCTAAGACCCACAAATGGAGCAGATAGTATGAGACAGTTTATAAATCAGTGGAAAGATGAGCGATAGAGACAACACCCTTAACTATGAAATTAATGATTCATAATCACTATAGACACATAGCCAATTCTTATCCTAGATAAATTTTTATTAAAACAAAGGTTTAATTCTTCAGAATGCCACACGGATCTCAGAAGGAAAGGACACGATTGCCCATAAACATATTTGAGACACTTAGCATGCCTAAGATCTCAGGACTATGGTGTCACCCCTGAATACAATTCAAAATAAATTTTCTATCTTGATTCAAAATTTATATACATGTTGAAGTTAAAGTATCTTTTTTCTATTTTTTTGGAGCATAAAATTCTAGAAAAATTTATGATTTCATTTTATTGGTGGCCCTTCCTTGTTGATTTCTTCAGTATGGGTTGAATGTTCATACAGGGAAGCCCAGCCCTGGACCTACTTTATTGGTCTCCAACGGAGACTGCGTGCCATTTCTAACTACTATACTTGGGTTCCTGGTGGGCTGGGACTGTGTCTTGCTCATTTTTGAGTGCCCCACAATGCCTGTTAACAATAT